GGGGGGGATGCCTCCAATGCCCATGATCTCCACACTAGATGGAGGACCGCAGCCATCTATGGCAGGATAGCTGCCAGCCTGGCCACCGAAGGTTACATGCGAACCGAGGAGCAGGTTTGCATGAAAATCAAGTTGGTCCAGTGAGACCTCCACCCCTGAGCTTCCCCTCCCCCTTCTTCCCCTTGCTTCTCCCTTCCAGGTTTCTCCCCCTCCCCTCTCTCACCCTCTCTTCTCCCTTCTCCCACCTCCTTTCACCTGTCTCTCATTCCCCTCCCCCCCCCAGTTTTGTTAAAGACTGTTTGCATTTATAAAAAAACGTTTTATTTTACATCAGGAAGGAGGGCTGGGTGGGGAGTGGAAGGACGTGAAGGAGGAATGAGGCACAAGCCCTTGGTGGAGCAGACCAGGGAGGCTCTTAGTGCTCCTCAGGGTGGAAGCTCTCCCGCAGGGCCTCCTGGATACTGACAGCCCCCTGATGGACCTCCCTAACCCTCACCCCAATGGACCTCCCGGATGGCAGCCTGCAGAAAGTGCAGCCAGGCTTGCAGCAATGCATCCAAGAGAAGTACCAGAGTGCCCGGGGGCAGCTCCGGCTCCATGTTGTAGAGTGCTGTGGTGTCCCTGGTGAGGGCAAGCAGAGCACGCAGAGACAAAATGCTTTGCTGTTCTTTGAGGTAGGCAAGCAAGCAGGGAACCCTGAGATCTGGCTGTTGGAGGGGTCCCTTTAAGTACAGGCCTCAGATAGTCTCAGGCAGCAGCCACACAAAGTAACTCCTGACCTGATGCCCTGTCAGACCTGGTTCCGGCCAGCCTTAAATGTGATTCAGCATCCACTCAGTGTGGACACGCTATTTCAAAATAGCAAAATGCTATTTCTAAATGCATTTTGTGTGTAGATGCGTTATTTTGAAATAAGGCTTTAGTGTAGACATACACTAACACAGCCACCCCTCTGAGAGTCTCAGGGTATGTCTACACTAGCTCGTTAATTCGAGTTTGGTAGGCAAATCAGGCAACCGGAGTTGCAAATGAAGGCCGGGATTTAAATATCCCGGGCTTTATTTGCATGTTCCCGTCCGGTCGCCATTTTGAAATTTCATTAGCCCGTAGTAACTGCTGCGCAGCTACACGTGGCAGTGAAATGGTAATTCGAACTAAGAGCTTAGTTCGAATTAACTGTTGCTCATGGAATGAGGAGTAACAGTTAATTCGAACTAAGCTCTTAGTCTGAATTACCATTTCACTGCCACGTGTAGCCGCGCAGCAGTTACTACGGGCTAGTGAAATTTCAAAATGGCGACCGGACGGGAACATGCAAATAAAGCCCGGGATATTTAAATCCCGGCCTTCATTTGCAACTCCGGTTGCCTGATTTGCCTACCTAGCTCGAATTAATGAGCTAGCGTAGACCTACCCCCAGTAATGATGGACCCTCTTTCCTTTCTCCTACCTTTAAAGCCCTCCCCATTTACAGTCTCTGGAGTGCTATTTGCAAAGAATTCTTGCAAAACCATTCTGTATGTGCCCCTTCTGGCTTTAAAAATGAGTGATGGGGCTTCAGCTTACGTAACAGGAGAGGCTAGGGCTGGGATTTCTCAGGAAGGGCATGGTTTGTTGCTAATAAAAACTTAAAGTAAGAAATGACATGTGGCCTCTTTCATAGAATTCAGAAAGTGTTCGCTTCCTTTCAGGAAGAAAGGAAAATAAGAGGTGGAGCTGAAAAGACGTATTACATTGCTGGGAATTTCCCCATTGTAGACATATGAATTGCCTTCCTGTCCTTTAGCAGTTTAGGTTCAACCTCTCCTAGAGTTTACATTTTTGGAGGTGAAGTGAAGAGTCAGAATGGTTGAACAAGGATTAGCCAAATGTATCTGTACTTTTACTGCTGTTTTGTTGTTCTTGCTGTTCTCTGCTATGTGCTGTTCAGGGCTGAGTTGTGGGCAAAATGAATATCCCTTACATGGAAAATGCTGCAAGGAGTGTGCTCCTGGTAAGTCGTCATTATTAACTTAATAGTGACTCTATTTGCTAGATGTAGAATGAAAGTCCAGCACGTAATGAAGGTGGGGAGGGAGAGAATAATCTTGTGAACTGAAAAGGTTACTGAGATGTAAGAAATGTTACATATGAATTATAAAATGGTTTCACACAATGTCTAAAATTGTCTAGTTAGGAACAAACTCTTTCTGTAACTTAAGCAGGTAACCTTAAGAAACCCTATGCATTACTCTAAGGAATGAAATCTTCAAAGACTTGTCAACATGGGCTTATTTGTTCCTAAAATTTCCCCTTGCTGTGCTATGGGAGCACTAGTACAGCCTGCCTGCCAACAGCAGAACTAATTTGTCTGGCTCATCTTAGATTAGGAGTAAATGGCATGTTGGTTAAAAGCTGATGGACATAGGAGCCCTTTTTGTTTGTTTGTTAAAAAGTGCTGAATGACCATATGCATGCCTATTGGGGGGAAAAAACAAGGTATGCCAAATATCACTGAAAAGATCAAGATTTATGGATGGCAGGTGTGTTTGAATTTTTAAAGTGCTCTGGTCCACATGCCATGCAGACCTCTTCCTGTGATGTTAGCTAATTCTCTTTGCTTCACGTAATTCATCCAGTTCTCTTTGCTTCAATGATTCGGTAAAATAAATAGAATGCTTGTTTCCTCGTACATTTTTGGGGGGGAGGGGGAGAAGAAACTGAATTTTGTTTTGTCAGGGGAGGTGGAAGGGTTTCTTATTCACAGCTGCTGTTAGAGCAGAACTACAGTTCTGTAGTCAGAGTAGAGCAGGTGGAAAAGTACCGAAAAAATATAGCCGCTGTTGGATATCATTATAGAAATTACTTGACAACCCAGAGTAACCACAACTGGCATGTGATGCTGCATTGTACAGTGGGCCGTTTGTTAATAGAAAGTGGCTTTGGTGCTAACAGAAAGGGAAGGAAAGGTACATTCTCACCTTTGCAGGATGATTAGATTGTGTGAATGCACCTTTTTTGCAAGAGGTTAAAATTAAAACAAAAATCCTGTGCAGAATTGCTCGAGCATCTTTTTTCACAGTTCCATCCTCCCCACCATGTAAAATGTGTACTGCATTAGCTACTGCAGCAAAAACTGAAATCAGTTTTTTCCGAGACTGGTTGTAACACATCCCTGCTTTTGAGAGACAGATTGCTACATGAGCCCCCTCTGGATATAACCACAGCTAGTGAGTTTTGTGAGGTTTTGCATACATCATTCTGGGATGCATCCCATCCCTGGTAAGTGGGTACAATTCCTCCAAGCTCACATGCAACTTTTTCTCTTTAGTGTGGTGAAGGAGTTTCCACTGGCTGTGGCTTAGTCAGAAACTACCAAGTCAGTTCTAGACTTGGGAGACCTGTTCCCTCCTGCCCCTCGGGAGAATTTTACAGTTTCGCAGTTAATTATGGAGATGTAGCAGTGGATACAGTCTTTGGAAATGGTCATATGAAGATGCAGGAGTCAAGACTGTGGATATAGACAGTATCTTCCATGATACAAGGTCATTTGATTGTGGGTATCAATCTGTGATTCAGTTTGATTTTGTTCATGTGAATTTGCTCCCAGTTACTCAGAAAATGCCCCAAATCTTGCTTGCTAGTTCTTGGAACATTCTCCATTCAGGGGAGTAATCTGTTTCCTGAGTGTGTAGGATGTATAGTAGATAGCAAGTTAATGGGTTATGAGAATAACTCATTCTCAGAAGTGGCTGCTGTTCACATCCAGTGAAACTTAAAGAAAATGAATGAGTGGGGTGGGGAAAAGTGTGATCCTCATTTCCCAAGAGCAAGTGTGTGTATAAGAAAATACAAAAAAAATTAATTGCAGCTGGATTTTAGAAGTACTGAGCATTAAAACGATTGCTCTTTGTTTTCAATTAGTCTATACCAGGGGTTCTCTAATTGTGGGTTGTGATATCTTAGGGTGTTGCAGGGTGGTTTTATGGGACCCACAAGCTGTCAGTTCCTTGGGGCTGAGCCTCCATTAAATTAAATTGCCCCCATTTTTAATTTACAAGGAGGGGATCACACACAAAGACTTGCTATATAAAAGGGCTCTCCAGCAAAAAAGTTTGAATGCTACCAGACGACACCATATTACAGGGCATTTGCGAGAATATCCCTCGATACCTAGAGCATGAGATGGGGACTCAAAACCTCTTGAGTCTATTCCCAGTTCTGCCACTGACTTGCTATTTGACCATGGGCAAGTCATTTAATCCCTTCATCTCATCGTCTGTGAAACAGAAACCAGAGTGAATTTTTACCCACTTCAAAAGTGATATGAAAACTAATGTTTGAGAAGCATTCTGAATTCAGATGAAAGTACTGAAAGTGTAGCATTGTCACATTAGCTGGTGTGGCAACATGAATGTGCCTCATTCCTTGTGCAAAAAACAAAAACAAAAAAAACCCACCAACCGCCTATCCACGATATGCAAGTTTTCTGGGCAGAGATTCAAGACATCAAACCTGGCACAACTGACCAGCATTTAACAGGGAGAGCTTTCTGTCCATATGGATGTTCCTTTGGTATAATGCTGTGTGTATCTAAAACAAGCACTCCTGGAAGAGTAAATCAAATTCTGAAACATACAAATGGGATAGATTACCTAGTAAAGCTGATAAAACCCGTACACTTCTCTACTATTCGAGAAGAAGTGTTTTATGTCACTTTACAAATGTGATTTGATTATTTCCTGACATATGGATGAGTCGGCTAAATAATATTGGGATAATGCAGATGGGGAAACAGACAGAGCCCTGTACCATAGAAGTAGAACTCAGGATCACTACTTGAACCATTGTACCACCCCACTCCTCTGATCTCTGTTATGTGTCCCTTCTGAGTTAGTGATTTGAATCCAGACTTCTCTGACAACTGTTTTAGCCCAAGTTAAATTATTTTGGTGGCGTTAATCAAGTTGTTATTGAATACTAAGCTAATTTAAGCATGTTAGAAATGGGTAGGTGTTCATATTACACATCCTGCCTTCGTAGCGGACTCCCTTTGTAGTCGAAAGAGGCTGAATCAATTTCTAACTCCTGGAGGGGGTTCATACTTGGATGATGCCAAGAAAGACACCAGTGCTGCTAGACCACAGAAATGAAACAAAGAACTAATACCGATTTGAGTACAAAAGAAAACTGAAACTGTGAGTGATTAGTCTAACATCAGAACCAGGCAAATTGAGTTGAAACTACAGTAAAAAAATAAAATTGTCAGACACATAGATGAACATAATTTGTTGGGGAAAAGTCAACATGGTTTCCATAGAGGGAAATCATGCCTTACTAATCTACTAGAGTTCTTTGAACTCTAGTAGATTAATATGTGGACAAGAGGAATCCAGTGGATGTAGCATCAAAGGTTTTCTGGAAATCTAAGTACAAGGTCCCTCACAAAAGGCTCTTAAGTAAAGAAAGTAGCCATGGGATAAGAGGGAAGGTCCTCTCATGAATTAATAACTGGTTAAAAGACAGGAAACAAAGAATAGGAATAAATGGTAAGTTTTCAGAATGGAGAGAGATAACAAGTGGTGTCCTCCAAGGGTCTGCATTGGGACCAATCCTATTCAACCTATTTATAAATGATCTGGAGAAAAGTGTAAACAGTGAGGTGGCAAAATTTGCAAATGATATTAAACTGCTCAAGCTAGTTAAGACCAAATAAGACTGTGAAGAGCTTCAAAAAGTTCTCACCAAACTAAGTGATTGGGCAACAAAATGGCAAATGAAATTTCATGTTGATAAATGTAAAGTAATGTACATTGGAAAAAATCATCCCAACTATGCATACAATATGATGGGGCTAATTTAGCTATAACTACTCAGAGATCTTGGAGTCAATGTGGATAGTTCTCTGAAAATATCCCCTCACTATGCAGCAGCAATTGAAAAAGCAAACAATGTTAGGAATAATTTAAAAAAGGGATAGAGAATATGACAGAATATCTTATTGCCTCCATATAAAACCATGGTATGCCCACATCTTGAATACCTCCTACAGATGTGGTTGCCTCATCTCAAAAAAGATGTATTGGCATTGGAAAAGGTTCAGAAAATGGTAACAAAAATGATGAGGGGTTTGGAACCAGTCCCATGTGAGGAGAGATTAAAAAGTCTGGGACTTTTCAGGTTATAAAAGAGGAGACGGGGGGATATGATAGAGGTCTATAAAATCATGACTGGTGTAGAAAAAGTGAATAAGGAAAAGTTTTGTACTTATTCCCATAACATAAGAACTAGGGCTCACTAAATGAAATTCATAGGTAGTAGCTTTAAAACAAACAAAAGGAAGTTTTTCTTCATGCAGAGCATGGTCAACCTGTGAAACGCTTTGCCAAAGGATGTGGTGAAGACCAGGACTTTAACAGGGTTCAAAAAAGTAATAGATCAATTCATGGAGGTTAGGTCCCTCAATGGCTATTAGCCAGGCTGGGTAGGAATGGCGTTCCTGGCTTCTGTTTGTCAGAGGCTGGAAATGGATGACAGGAGAGGGATCATATGATGATTCCTTTTTCTGTTCATTCCCTCTGGGGCATCTGGCATTGGCCACTGTTGGCAGACAGGATACTGGGCTGGATGGACCTTTGGTCTGAACCAGTGTGGCCCTTCTTATGTTCTTATGAAACATTAGCGTTAATTTCCCACCTCCTCCATCCTCCAATTCTATATATACAACAATGTACTTTGAGTTTTAGCCAGGAGGAAGTGCTCTGAAGAGAAGACTGAGAGATGTATACCTAGTATACTTCAGGACTATGAGGATCTGGATCATACTGATTGATCCTGTAAGCTCAGAAGTCAAGGGGAATTTGCAGGTTTGGGCATATAACTGTTTCCTTTTGAACAACGTTGCTCAACTCAGAGTATTATCCATCTACTGAAACTTATTTTACAATTTTATAGCTACTTCCCTGTTTCAAACAGGAGCCCTCTATTGACCCCACCCCTATCGATTAATATCAAATACTCTATCATGTTCTGCAAGTCTTTATAAAACAGAGCTAGTTTTTCTGGATTCTATTCCTGGCTCTGTTATTGAGTCACTGCATGACTTTGTCATTTGATCTGTGGGTCTATTTTCCTGTTTTAAAAAGGAGAACACAATATCTATACAGAATGGAAAGAGATTGTCTAGGGAGGAGTACTGCAGAAAGGGAACTAGGGGTCATAGTGGACCACAAGCTAACTATGAGCCAGTATCACACTGTTGCAAGAAAAAAAAAAAAAAAAAGATTCTGGGATGCATTAACAAGACACAAAAAGTCATTCTTCCACTCTACTCTGAACTGATTAGGCTTCAGCCAGAGTACTGTGTCCAGTTCTGGGCACCACATTTCAAGAAAGATGTGGAAAAATTGGAGAAGGTCCAGAGAAGAGCAACAAAAATGATTAAAGGCCTAGAAAACAAGAGCTTTGAAGGAAGACTGAAAGAATTGGGCTTGTTTAGTTTGGAAAAGAGAAGACAGAGAAGGGAACATGATGGCAGTTTTCAAGTATCTAAAGGGGTGTTACAAGGAGGAGGGAGAAAAATTATTCTCCTTGACCTCTGAGGATAGGACAAGCTGCAATTTAAGCCCATTGCTTCAAGGCAGGTTTAGGTTGGACATTAGGAAAAACTTCCTTGCTGTCAGGGTAGTTAAACACTGGAATAGCTTGGCTAGGGAGGCTGTGGAATCTTTATCTCTGGAGATATTTAAGAGCAGGTTAGACAGGCACCTATCAGGGATGGTCTAGATGGTACTTGGTCCTGCTGTGGGGGCAGGGGACTGGACTTGATGACCTCTCGAGGTCCCTTCCAATTCTAGTATTCTGTGATTCCATCTGCTCCTCTGATGAGTGCCAATGTAAGAGCTTGGATGGATGAATGGATACCCCAGAGGGGAGGCTGTCAGGCTTCATTTAACTAATGTGCTTTGACATCCCCCTGCAGAAAGATGCAATAGACGAGCACATTATTGTTAACTGTTTAATTGCTGCATGCCATCATCGGTCTACCCTGCCTGCGGGCATTTCCCATCCAGTGCATCTCTTTGCTCCTTGAGAACTAGTCAGGCTGTTCAGATGACTTTATTGTGGTGGGGGGAACTGTGGCAAAGCCACAATATTAGAGAGATTGCAAAGCTGCAGTGGTAAATTGACCCTTGTAAGCAACTTCAGCTGCAAACCCTGACATTCAAATAATTCAAAAGATTCCATAGTAGAAAAATGCTGGTTGGGATGCACTGGTGAAGGGGACAGACACTGGGCACTGTCTAGGTTTTCAGATTATCTAAAACCAGGTCATGGTTGTGAATGCCTGGTCAGTGGCACAAAGGGCCAGATTCCTCAGGCCTCTTGAAGGCAAAAGTCCCCTCTTCCTAAGCACAATCCCAGCCCACACATGGGCTTAAGTGGACAGAAGATGTTTGATTTAGTCTATTTGAGAGATCAAAATATCAGCTTCCCTGTGCTAGACGTCCACATGTGTCCCTTTGTCACAGGCCAGGAAATGAAAACTCGCTGCACAGTAACCTCAGGTACAGAGTGTGTCCCTTGCCGAGATGGATACTATAACTCAAACCATAACTACTATAAATGCAAACGCTGCACCGCCTGCAATGCAAGTAAGTCAGCGACACCAGCGGTTTTCAAACTTTTTTTTTCTCATGACCCAGTTGAAAGAAAATTGTCGATGCCTGTCTCCCAACATCATTTGACTGCAGTGTAGGCTCCGGGGTGGGGCTGAGGGGGGGAGCTTTGGGGTGTGGGAGGGGGCTCCAACTTTGGAGATGTCAAGGCTCAGCAGGAGGGGCTTACCTTGAGTGGCTCCCAGTCAGTAATACAGCGGGGGCGCTAAGGCAGCTTCCTGCCTCTCCTGGTGCCGCAGACTATGCTGTGTTCCAGAAGCAGCCAGCAGCAGGTTCCCAGCCAATGGGAGTGCAGAGCTAGTGCTGGAGGCAGGGACAGTGCATGGAGCCCTGTGCACTCTTTTCCCCTCCCCCGCTTAGGAGCTGGGCTTGTTGCCGGCTGCTTCTGGGGTGCAGCGCAGTCTGCAGTGCCAGGACAGGCAGGTCATTGCCTTCACCCCCCCCATTGGTCACTTGATCCCCCTGCAGGAACGAGACCCAGCACCCGACATTCCCCTACCCAGTCCTGCGTTGTGACCCGTAGTTTGAAAAACTACCGAGCTACACAATGGCCACTTCTCTGCAAGGGGTCCCCAGAATATCTCCTCAAACCCCTTAGGATCTCTCCTTACACCCTTTTCTTCCTCCATCACCTACTCTTCTTTTCTACTCACCAGAGGGCTGACACATGACATTTTGGGGGGGAAATACCATTTTCAACCTATTGTAAGAATGATTTAAATTTCTTTTTAATTCTGACAATATTTTGATGTAGTCCATGCAAGCAAGAGTTGAAGAGAGAAGAATTGACGTCCATGTCTCTCATTTGCCAGTGCAGAATATTGAGCACGAGGCTGGTTTCATTTATGCTTTTAATTGATTTTTCTCTCTCCCTTACCACCTCCCCAACTCTGTTGCTCCTAGAGAGGGGAAGAATAGAGGTGAAGAAGTGTGATAAGAGATCAGATGCAGTTTGCACATGCATGAGGGGTTACACCCTGGCTGACACATCATCAGAGGAATCTGCATCAGGAAAAAGTGAGTGAATAGCTTTTTTAGGGTTATGACTGTATTCCTCCCAGTCAAAAGTCTCTGCTGGTTGCTTTATAATTTATCTCTGTCTCCAGGACAATTGCTAACAGAATGATGGGCAAATGCTGCCATCTGATCTCTCCTCTTTAATCTCCAGAAACAATCTGAAGGAAATGCAAGGAACCTTACTAGGAAACAGAATAAAAAGGGGGGAGAGGAGTTATGTGTGTTCAAAAATTCTGCGCTGGTTAGGCCTCAGTTGGAGTATTGTGTCCGGTTCTGGGCACCGCATTTCAAGAAAGATGTGGAGAAACTGGAGAGGGTCCAGAGAAGAGCAACGAGAATGATTAAAGGTCTAGAGAACATGACCTATGAGGGGAGACTGAAGGAACTGGGTTTATTTAGAAAAGAGAAGATTGAGGGGGGACATGATAGCAGTTTTCAGGTATCTAAAAGGGTGTCATGAGGAGGGAGAAAACTTGTTCATCTTGGCCTCTAAGGATAGAACAAGAAGCAATGGGCTTAAACTGCAGCAAGGGAGGTTTAGATTAGACATTAGGAAAAAGTTCCTAACTGTCAGGGTAGTCAGACACTGGAATAAATTGCCCAGGGAGGTTGTGGAATCTCCATCTCTGGAGCTATTTAAGAGTAAGTTAGATAAATGTCTATCAGGGATGGTTTAGTCAGTATTTGGTCTGCCATGAGGGCAGGGGACTGGACTCGATGACCTCTCGAGGTCCCTTCCAGTCCTAGTATTCAATGATTCTATGAATATGTCACCATCCCTTTGTACAGGCCCCAATGCTAGCTGCAATTTTCAATGGTTCTGTTGTATGTACTCTGGTTTTGTGTGGCACTCTCTGGAATAAAAGCTGTTTTATAAACGTAAAGTGGTGTTGTAATGGGCATGCATCACTTTTGCCCCAGGCTTGTTTAAGGGATGTTCACAGCTACTCCAAATCTGTATCAGGAGACCATAGATTTAAAATATTGTCTATTTTTCAGATTGCGTCCCTTGTTCTCATGGACATTTTTCCAATGGCAACAATGAGAAATGTCAGCCCTGGAAAAAGTACGTATCCAACTTTTGTTTCTTGCACACAGCAGTCTTTCTCTCACTTGTCCTAATGTCGGTGTATAGAATTCCCAAAGATAAGCCAGCAATGAATACAGTAAGACTGTCTTCATGATGACTTTTAAGATGCTAGCAAGTGGGTTATGTGTCAGCTATTGGTATGCATGGGCATGCTGCATAGTCTCTTTTCTACTCTGAGGCCTTCAGTAGAAAGATGGCCAAGTGGAAATTTCACCTACCCGGAAAGAACTCGATCACCTCACAGGGAAGCTATTCATGATTGTAGGGAACCACTTGAAACCTGAAGGGACAACCCACAGCTTGGAGGAGAGAGGAGTTTGGAGGAGGCTCCAGGAAGTCGGTCTGTGTACTCATGACTAGAGAATGCTAGCGACTCCCACAGCATCTCTGTAAATAGAGTTCTTCATAAAGAAACAGTTTAATTCATAAGCATGGAGTTTTTTCATGTTATCCCGACATGCACTGCCTGGAACGATGTTTTCTTCCCTGAGAGCAATTCTGTACCCCTTTTTCTTTTTGTCTGACCCCAAGGTGTTCTCTCTAGTTGAGCAAAGGTTGGTAATTCCTACTGAGTGTTGCTATAGAGTAGAAGAGCAGTGATTTTCTTTTCCCCCTTGCAGGATTCATCTGAATTTCAAGTGTTAGAGCAAGCAGGAAAAAAAACCCAGATATCTTTTATACAACATAAAGAAGCCCTTCCTCCCCCCTGCCCTCAACATCCCCCCACAAGTGCACATGCCTCTGTGCAGGTCACTTTTATATTTGTGATTGAAACTATCTATTTACACGGGCAGCTGCACCGCTAATGGGAAAAAGACTCTGAGAGCTGGGACACAAACAGAAGATGCCATTTGTGACGACCAGGGCGAACAGGCTACCACACTCCGAACATCCACCTTGTACCTCTTTGTCATCGATCCCAGACGCAACAGTTCTACGGCAGCACTCACCACCTTCACCCCCCAAAACAACCTTTCCAACCCGGAGGTTATAAATGACAACCAAGCAGGGACTAACTGGGGTAAGGGAAGGCTGAGTCTTGTCTTCTGGTGGTTGCCTCCTTTTCCTGCTCTGAGAACAGCTGTTTTACTCCCCTTCAGTCTGTCTAAAATGCCACTGCCAAACTCCTTTTCCTTCAAGTATATCAGCCTCTTTTTTAACCCATCTCCTCACAGATGCCACATCCTCTTCCTCACCAGCATGGTCCTGTTGTTGCCAACGTCTCATGACTTGTTGCCTGCTTGTTTCCTCTTTCGCTCTGCTAGTTCTGCATCCTTCCACCCCTCTCGTTACCCTTTTCCACAAGCATGTCTGCATCTTCCCCAAGTTTTGGGATACCCTCTCTCTATCCTATAGGCCAGGTGGCCTGCCCTCTCTTCTTCAGACCTGTTTTCCCATAGCCCCTCCCTAAGCATTCCTCTCATTCTGTAGATACACAACAAAGAATGACAGCTTCAAAAAAATAAACCAAGGCTTGAAAAGGGCGATTGTGCCAACCCAAGTGTCCCATAACCTGTCACGTGTCTTCCTTCCTCAAAAAGGAGGAAGCAACTTATTTCTGCTGATCTGGGTTCCTGCTCTTCCTGAGCCACTCACATACATCCTAGATTGGAATTTGGCAGTGCTCATGTTTTTCTGTGAAATGATTTAACCTCTTGCTGTCCTAACCACCTACTCATTTGTAGTCATGGGCTAGCTTTTAAAAACCGGCAAGCATGGACACCACAAGTCCTGTGACATGAATGTAGCCTTGATTCTAAGGTAGCCTTGATTCTAAGGCTGCCACAGGTTGGACCTCCCTGGTCCGGCACCCTGGGAACTTGAGTGATCCCAAAGGAGGCAGTTTGAGGACCAGAGGAGGTCGGGTCTTGAGCTCTTTTGAGGCTCCCTTCCCAGCCAATGCATTGCCCTGGCTGCCACCCTGCACTGGCCGGCAAGGCTCCCTTCCTCCAGCTGGCAGCATCTCTGGTCCTTCAGACACGGAGGCTTCACTGCCCCCCTGCCACTGGTGGCTCCATGTCCCCAGCCACAGGGACTTCCCAACCAGCAAGGGCTTCCCTTCCCCCCAGCCGCCAAAAGCTCCATGCCCCAAGCTGCGCTCCTTGCCTCCAGTCCACTGGCCCTCCAGGCTGCCTACCGGTGGTTCCTATCTAGCTACTCCCTGTAGCGATACCAGTAGCACAGGGAGAAGTTACATGTAAACCACCAGCTGAGTTCTCAGTCGCTGTCCAGTCCCCATCGAAAGTTGCTGGACCAGAGGGTCCTGGACCACAGAGTTCAACATGCATTGTGTTCATTGGAATAGTCAGCACTCTCTCATGTGTTCTACCAAATATCATGCTCCTTGAAATCTTATCGCAGCTAGCAAGTTTTCATGGTGTGCTCATCATCATGGTAGCTGAGTGCCTGCCTTTTATGTCACTCAGAATGGAAACAATTCACAGGGCCAGCAGTTCATTCTCCCTCTCAACCGTGTAATGGTCTTCCTTTATTTTTCTCCTAGGGTTCTTATCCCTCATTCTGATTTGCTTAACGTTGCTCCTGGTATCTGGAATGTCCATCCTCCTCTTGACTATCCAGACAGCCAAAAAGGAGACGACAAAGAGGCCTCCTGTGAACAGACAACATGGTGAGTTTCTGTTTTAAAGCTTGTTGCTCTACACCATTAGTAGCAAGGGAAGGGTGGATAATGTCATCTCTCAGGATATAACTACATTGCAGTTTAGGCCCAGGATTCAAACTCAAGCTCAGTCCTAGTCCCCCATCCAACTAAACACACGTTGTGCTTGCCCCAGCTCAGAGCCAAGGTCCTAGGATCCTAGAGGTTGGAGGGTCCGGACCTGAGTCAAGCCACGTGTCATAACTTGCACTTTTCCCTCTGTGTCATTTTGTATTTGTATTTCCTTTTTTTCCTTTCTTTTTTCCATTTCCCTGCTTATGTTGGGGGTGGAAGAAAATCAATAATATACAAATCATAAGAAAATGGCTGCTCTGCTGGCCAACCATGAAGATGTCTCCTGAAGTTGTGACCCTTTTCTATCCCTGTCCATGTAAGCTACCTCAAAGTCCTTCATTCACCTCCAAGAATGAATGAATTTGGTTTGACTGACAGGGAGCAGGCACTCTATGCAAAGCCAATGAGATGCATCATTCTGGATCGGTCCACTGCTGCCTCTCTTCTTGTTATACACAGCACCAATAAAGCGATCCGTAAACCCAACCCACTTCTGTTACATACCCAGCATTGGCTAGACCAGCAAGCAGTTATCTCCAAAAGCCACTTCCTGCTCCCATATGTGTGAAACCAGAAGAGCCATTTGCTTGTCTTTCCCCTCCTGCACTGTACAGAAAGTTTCTCTACTCTGTATTTTTCAGATGGAAAGAGCTTTCGAATTCCTATCCAGGAAGAGCAAATCGACTCCAATTCCAGTCTCATCAAAAACTGATTCCCGGTTATGCTACATGTTACTGCCAACTGAGCCAAACAGGAGTAGCCTAGTAATGTAACACATGCTCCTCACGTAAAGGAATATTACATATGTTTTGATCTTCGTTCCAGGGCTGGCTGCATGACTGTCTCCTTTTTGGTCTCTCTGAGTGCATCCACTCAAGTCTTGGACCTCATGCCTCTTCCTCTCTTGGAGTAGAGTCATGTGATTCTCCCACTGTTTGACTGAGTCATGGGTATGGACTGTGCTTACCAAGTAGGTCCTTACTGAGTTTGAGAACCTACAGCTTTTCCCTTTGGGAGTTTGTCACCAGTGGTCCATGATGAGCAGAGCTTTCTGAACCCCTAGTATTGTATTTAGCAATCATAGAATGCATTAGCGAGAGGATTTCAAAATGACAGTCTAGCCTTACTCTTCTTCCTATGCAGGCCTCTTTTCTCCAGACCCCCACTCAAGGTCCTGTATCTGAGTCTCCTTCCAGTCTGGTTCCCTGGAGGCTCTCCCTCCCCCTGAGAGAGTGGCCCCCATTGAATCTTGCTTGGGTTCATTGTTGTCTTGTGATTGTGAGCCTTGGTCTGTCCTGCTCAAAACTGTTTTGTAGGGTGTCTGGAGCCATGGCAACAGAATCATTGACAATAATAACTGTAGCACAGCCAACAGGTTTTAAGCGTTTGTTGAGAGGGTGTAATCTAGAGCCATGCTGCTGCTTTCTGTCTGTGTCAGCCAGGTACCTGTTGTGCAAATACAGTGCATTCATCTGGTAAATACCATCCTGCTAACCCTGATTAGAGAGTAATCCAAATCTGCATGGAAAGGCAGAGTCTTTACACTCACAGCCTTGAGAGACAGTAGTGGGGAACTGTGCAGCTCATAGTGAACAAGCATATCACTTGTCCTCATTTCAGGCGTTATCACTCAGCATTTGCACCACTACTTCACCTGCAAACACACACACCCTCTTGTGCTTCCTGTTTATCTTCATGTGCATCACCATGAACTTCCTGTGATGATGGGTGTCTGCAGACAAGAAAGAGCAGGTGAAGGGTGGGAGCAGATGGAGTGAAAAGCAAATGTAGATACTATGCAAAAGGGGGCCGAGTTGAGGAAAAGAGAACTTCCAATGGAAGCATAAATAGTAACTACTGGGCCAGATGCTAATCCACTGACTTCAGTGGAACTAGGTGGGTGCCTTGGGGTATCCGGCGTACTGTCTGAATACATTGTGTGGTTGGTGTTGCTTTCGAGGATTCTTCTCTCACTGACATCACAATTAAACTGAAACTCTCTGGGGGGGGGGATGAAATTACAATCAAAGTCGAGCTAACGATGCAAAGCCCCAAATAGCTAGAAGCTTGCAAACTGTGAAGCCACTTTGTCACTGATCCTTGCCGCTTTCCACTGTTGTTTCTGAACCCCTTTCTGTACCCACAGTATTATAAGTCTGCGCTAAGTAATCCCAACAAACCCCTTTCTGAATGAAGGTGCTGTCTTGCTAGCTTTGCAGCACATGACTTCTTGTACATATACAGTAATATCTTTTCTTGAACTCAGGTATTGGCTGGGAACAGACAATGGATTGGTATTCCAGTAGCAACACCCAGGGTTTTCTGCAGATGTCTTGACAATAGAGCTATGCAGAACCCTGCTGGTAATCGATAGACAATCCAGACGCAGGCTGATATCCTGAACTTGAGTGCTTTGTGGCAGTTCACACTCGAACTGAACGAATACTGATCCAGCTCCTAGCTGAAATCAATAGGCTACATCTACACTGGCAGCTCCTTGCACAAGAACAGCTGTTCTTGCGCAAAAACTTGCTGGGTGTCTACACTGCACACACGTTCTTGCGGAAGTAAATTTACAGTACAGCGTTGGAAAACAGGGCTTCTTCTGGAAGAGTTATTCCTCTCCCCACGAGGAATGAGCCCTCTTGTGCAAGAGTGCAGTGTGGACAGGCAACATGAATTTCTTGCACAAGAAGTCCCTATGGCTAAAATGGCCATCAGAGCTTTCTTGCGCAAGAAAGCGTCCACATTGCAATAGACGCTCTTGCGCAAAAGCACATCTCTTGCGCAAAAGCACATGCCAGTGTAAGCGCGCTCTTGTGGAAGACATTTTGCGCAAGTACTCTTCTGCAAAACAGTTCTTGCACAAGAAGCTGCCAGTGTAGATGTAGCCCTAGTGTGGTATTTAAATTCAGTAGGAACAAGAACAGACTATATGAATAAATGTTACACTGGATGCCAACTGTGTCTGCAACAGCAGTGCTGCATGTCTTCTCGCTGGGCCATATATTGTCAAGGGGGAGAATGGCATTTAAAGTCAGTAGGAAGTGCCCTTGTAAATCCAGACTCTGAACCTGGTCTTGGGCTAATCTCTGAATCCCTTTATTTGACCCTCTGTGAAGCAGGAGTAATGATAGTTACTTCCTTCCTGGCAGAGTGGGGGAGGATGAATGTTTGAAGTACTCTGAAAATCTTTAGAACGTTTTGAAAACTGACAAGTGGCAGGTTTTGTTATTGGGATCCAGCTGTGACAAAAGTGAAGAATTTGCACTTGCACTGTACAAATGAACATGTTAATTACGCTTTATGTATTTTGGTTTAATATAAATGGGTATAATTTATTAGATCCTATGGTCTAAATTCTTGCAAATATGCGAAAACTAGAGTCCAGGGAGACTACTACTGTGCTTAAAGCAAAGCATGTATATAAGTGTTTGCAGGATCAGGGTCTTACTGTGGTTGTACTTGTAAAATACAATATACAAATGCAAATATATTCCATGTGCTCACACTCATGCTGAACTTTGTGGTGATTTTATATATATTTCACAGTATTTAACATGCCTTTTGGGGTCTATCCCCACTGCAATTAGAGTCCCACAGCTGGCACTAGCTAAGGGGCTGTTTAATGGTGGTGTAGATGTTCAAATTCCATCTGCAGCTTGCGCTTTGAGACTTCCCACTACAGGGGGTCCAGCCAGATCCCAAAACTTTACACCACAGTTACAGTCCCTTAGCCCAAGCCCAATTCAGCTGGTACCAGTCAGTGATGGATTTTTAATTGCAGTGTAGATATACCGGAAGTGAATTCGGCATACCTTTAATACATTACAGGATTTTGCAATATGTTTTCATCTAAACAGCTTTTGGATGTAATTTCATATGCCTTAATGTATGAAATAGATGAAGGGAAAAAGTCAAAGTGCGCTAGCAAAGCTGAGATAGGAGCGCTCATTTTCAATGTCACTCTTAAAGGTGTAGTTAAAAAAATATTTATTTTGTACACAAAATAACCATCCTATGTGCCAAAATGACCCGTGTAATATAGAAACATGTTTTTTTTTAAATATGTATGGTTATATGTTATACATATAATGTAATTAAAAATTATTTCCAAAAGTGAAATACAGACACATCGTATACAGACTTTTGTATTATTTTCTAAGTATCATAAATGGAGGAATTACTTGTCAATAAAACATTTCTCTAAAATGTGATTTGATGTGTGTGTAGTATCTGTGCAACTGCAGAGTTAAAACGCGGGATGCGCCGGGTGTTCCAACAGGCCGGAGGCAACTTGTACAAGTCATTATGAAACTGAAGACCAAGGGCAGGATTTTCACAAAAATGTTGACCCAGGTCCCCAAAGGTATTTAGGCACCTAACGCCTGTGGGAGGTAGGCATGTACAGGGATGGCTTTAGAGTTTATGGGGCCCTACGCAGTTCTATTAAGCTGGTGTATCCCCAGTGACAACCTGAGGGGAGGGAATCACGACATTCTAGAGCTGTGATTTTTATAATCTTCAACACACTCATGAAATTGCTTTAAAGCAAATTTTAAACCGAGGTTCTGTCGACTAACACAGTAAATTGAGAAGCTGACAGGATATACCTGGAGTTGGCAAATGCTTATGATATGGCTTCATTCCACTTGAATGGCTCTTTCACATCGATGTTCTACAAAGCTCTGGCAAGCTTTTTCACTTTTAAGTTGACTAGCTCCTCTCCGGAGGAAGCTGAGCCACAGACCACGGACAGGAAGAGGCGTGTGGGTGGATATTAAGACCCAGTGGCGCCCCACATTTTTGGGTGTTCTTAGGGCCAGCCCACAACATTTTGGCACCTGAGGTGGGGAGCTCAAATGATGCCCCCATGTCCCCTTTTCTCCTGCCTGCCTGTTATGTCTCTTGTGCCCTCCTTCCTCCAGCATGGGGCTCCACCATCTCTGTGCATCTAGAGCAGAGAGAATACATATGCACCAGCAGCAGACACCATTTTCTACACTCTGGGTCCTACACAGTATACACTGTGGTGCCCCCCACAGTCTGGCACCTCAGGCAGCTGCCTCAATTCGCCTCATGGTAAGGCCAGCCCTGGGTGCTCTACACAGCTGCATATTCTGCATATGGGTAAGGACGACTCTGCACGTATAATTAATTACCTTTGAGGATCTGGGCCCTACAGATTTTGGACCATTATCTTTTGAATGGCACTTGTGCTCCTCAGTCACTTAGGGTAACAAACATTTTTCAAATGTTCCTAAGTGACTTGGGAGCTGAAGTCTCACTGAAAGTCACTCACTTTAGTTTCGCTGCGGGTAATAGCACTTCCGTACCACATAGGGTTGTTGTGAGGACAAATGCAGTAATGAATAGAAGATGCTCAGATGCTATGGCAATGGGGGATCATGTAAGAACCTAAGCGAGATCATCAGCAATTGGTTATCACTTTCTTGTCCTTGCACCCACAAGCAGAGACTGGGATCTGTGAGTGGACTGGGCATTGTTGGCTTGGCACGAGGAAGGCTTCCCTACTGGTTAGGTGCTGTGCTGGGATGGGGGAGAGTTGGGTTTGGTTTCCTGCTATGCCCCAGACTTCCTGTGTGGCCTTGCACTAGTTGCTTAGGCACTCAGGATCTTGGTTTCCCTATCTGAAAAATTGGGAATAATAATCTTCCCTACCTTCCCGGGTTCCAGGAAGGAGTTGGGCTGCTGCGATTAAAAAATGCCCATTAATATGCCATGAAGTGGTGCCTTTGACTGAATCAGCCCTGACAGACGTGGGTGTAGACAGCCTACCCGAGAGCCAAATGTTTCTAAATGCGTTTCACCATAGAACATTTCTGTAAGTGCTGAGCTGGGCAGCATGTGGGCCACTGCCAGATCCCAAATGAACCTTAACAGGTCAATCATGATTAATTCATAAAATGTGTGTGTGCAGCCAGAAGCAACAGCCAGCCCTGTAGGCTGCACAGCTGCAACACACAACTGGCAGATACCATCCCAGTGGAGTAGTGAATATCAAAGAAGTGATGAGCTGCTGCATTGCCCTCCTGCAAATGGCTTTAGCAGAGGCGGCAGCAATCTGGGTGACTGGGAAGGATGGTCTCCGGGCCATGGAATTTGGCGTGATTAACTTCATAGGGTTATTTACTCCAGAGGCTGATGCCCTTTCCCCTCAGTTCACACCCCACCTCCAGCAGGTCCCTTATCCTCCTTTCCAAATGTGGGAGCCAGCGCCATCCCTGGGGCAGCCTGTGTGGGCTGTCTGGCTGCTCCAATGGTGGTGGGCGGAGGGGGAGCAGGACTTAATCCCACCTCCCTGCGCTCCCCAGGCAAATGCCCTATTGCCTAGTCCACTCCAAGGCCTACCCCGACTGCTATACCTCTGGGGGCCTTATCACTTGACTAAAGTGGGTAATCAGCATATCATCTAGAGATTACAACCCTGAGGCTACATCTGTATTACGAGTTTTCTTGGCAAAAAAAGATGCTAATGAGGGACTTATTTGCATGAGTCGTGATCTCATTTGCATATTTTCTGGCAATCTGTTTTTGCACTAGGGGTTTTTGCACAAAAACAAGCAGTGTGCACATTTTCTTTTTGGTTTTGCACCAAATAGCCTAGTGCAAAAACAGATTAGCAGAAAATATGCAAATGAGATCATGACTCATGCAAATGAGTCCCTCATTAGCATATTTTTTGCCAAGAAAACTCGTACTACGTCTACACTGGCACGTTCTCACGAAAAAATTCTTTTGCAAAGTAAAAGTAGGAATAAAGGATCTTCCGGAAAAGGGTTTATTTTCCGCAAGATTCCGTCTAGACTGGCGCTTTTCTCCGGAAAAACCCCGAGCCGGAAAAAAGCGGCAGCCATGTTCATGCAAATGCCGCTGGGGATATTTAAATCCCCCGCGGTATTTGCAATTCCGACTGGTCTCATTAGCATCCCTTTTCCGGAAAAGGGTGCCAATGTAGACACAGCCTTCCAGAAGAGAGCGTCTACACTGGCATGTGCTTTTGCGCAAGAGATGTGCTTTTGCGTAAGAGCATCCATGCCAGTGTAGACGCTCTCTTGCACAAGAAAGCTCTGATGGCCATTTTAACCATAGGGGCTTCTTGTGCAAGAAATTCATGTTGCTTGTCTACACTGGCCTCTTCTGGAAGAGCTCTTGCGCTTCCTGAGTGGGAGTGTCAGAGTTCTGGCACAACAAGCCCTGATTTTATACATTAGAACATCAGTTTACTTGCGCAAGACCACACGAGCAGCAAGTTTTTGCGCAAGAGTGGCTGCTTTTGCGTGAGATTGCGCCAGTGTAGAGACAGCCATAGTGTAGACGTAGCCTGAATGTATAGAACTGTTCAGGACCAACCACTTGGAGTGCATAAGACTTTTTTTTTTTTTAAACAAATCCATATGGTCAGGCTCTGACAAGTTGAGGATTCTGAGGTAGATTTTTTTTAAGCTTTCCTGTTTCTTATAGGGCAGCGTTTCCCAAACTACGGGCAGCAGGAAAAAAATACCGAGCTTCAGCGTGG